TATATGGCAATAAACCCGATTCTGATGCTGATTTTATTTTTCCAGTATAAAAACCATTTCAACCGTTAACAAAGGGAAAGAGCGCCACCTTTTGGTGAGTCAGGAGAACCACGTCCTCGCTTGCACCGCTGGTAAGATATGAAACAGCAGCTTCTACCAGCTCCTTCTCGTTCATACAGTAGAAAGCAGCTCTGAAAAAATTGCGTATATGTTAGTCAAAACGAGCTAAGGAAGAAGAAGCATAAAACCGAGAGTCTGTCTTGTTTTTTTTCCCCACGCCACCTAACGTTACCTTGCAGTTTTCCGTTTCCCCCTTCTCTTCAGCGGCTCCTTCTCTTTCTCCTCCTTCTTCTTCGCCATCCACGACGCAGCGCCCGTGCCTTTCCGACATGTTGGCTCTGTGTTATGAAACTTACAACATTTGAATATCTGCACAAAGGTTACCGAGGTTTTATTCAGTATCAAAGACGAACGTGGGTTTGCATTTTGGTGAAGTCACGTGACCGCGCTGACTGACTCTTTAGCGCCCCTTAGTAACAAATAGCTAATGCACCAAGATGAACATGCTTCTTCCAAAATAGTTAATAATTTGACATTAAACGAATGTACTGGTCCTACTGATTCAGACAGTCCATTAGGTAAAGCTCTTCAGATTATTTAAAAATCCCGCCTTAAAACAGATATTACATTGTTATTCATATGGTTTGTTTAACCTATAATGTAATGTGTTTTGTATGTAAATGAATCTGCAAACTAGTAACTAAAGCACTAAAAAAAAGTGATGTTAAAGGTGCAAATGCTTCTTAAATGTAGAGCAGTCGAGGTTGTATAAAGTGTGAATACTCTGAACCCAAAGATTGTGATAAACATAAATAAAATAAATGTATTAAGTTACCACCACTCACATTTTGCCACACCCAGCTGTATTTAAACATTTACACTTGATTGTATGACATAGCAGATTGATAGTTTTATAGGTTTTAAATTGGGTTGATTTTGAGACTTGGGCTCATTGATTGACATTTTGTCTTTTGAGTATGTGTGAGAGATTCTTTTTTGTGTTGTTTTGCAAAGCGCAGAAAACAGAGAGTCCAAAGCAAATTTCCCTTTTGGGACAATAAAGTATCTTAAGTTATCTTATTTTATTGAAATGAGTTTGGTTTGAATGGGTCTACAGGTGTGAATCAGAAATGTACCACTTTTGCTGAAATCACATTCTGTGATTTTACTATTGTAGTGGCACATGCCCAATACTTGTCGTATTCACATTACTGCTAATGTTCCTTGTATCCTTATTTAATGTACTCTAGCTAATATATCATTTATTTATTGTTAAAAAATAGTAGTACAGTGAAAGATTCAACTATAATTTCCAAATCTCTCTCTCTATCTTTCTCTCTCTCCCCTCATTCACGTCCATCTCCTACAATTGTACAGCACTTACATAAACACAGACAGACCCTGTACAGTTGGTCATTGTTGGAATTAATCAGCATTGCAGTAGTGTGCTGTGTAATTAAAGCTGCGTTGCGGTGTCCGCTCATTCAAATTCACTTCTCTCACCGTGGCCTTTCTGTTGTCCAAGCTCATCCACATTTGCTGTTACTTATGGTTGTTTTAAGTATTCCACATTAAGAATAGTATTTCTTGCTTCTCCCTCACATATTTTTATTGGCATATTGAGTCTCATGCCAGTAACATAAAACAACATTTCCTTAAAAGTTTAAATTAGATCAGTTTCATCATCAACTCTGTTCATATGTTTAACTCCCATCTTAGATTTGGTCAGATAATAATAGCTGTTTGATTAATGTTTTTTATTTATTTTTGAACTGCATGTGTGGACAACACTAGCCACATGTGGACAGAAGATAATCCCTGCTAGTCTAATCGCATGACTCATTATTTTCTCACTTTCCACTCTTTTCTCCTCTTTTATCATCCTCTTTCAATCTCTGATGTTCGAAACAGCCTTGTGTCAGATTCTCACCTTCTGTCACTTTGGAGCCAAAGCTGCCTTCTCTCACTCAGGCCTTTTAATTATGTCTGTAAAGCCCCTTCCTACAAGTGCTTAGGCCTTGATTGCAAAGACCAGCTTTGTATATTTGACTAAATTAAAAAGTGGGGGGAAAGGGAGGAAAAAAACCTCAAGGCATAGAGCATGTTAACAGCCAGATGCACACACAATGTCACTTTCCCTAAAGCTCTCAAGTTCAGCGCATTTTAGGAATGACATGTAATCAGAGGGCTGAACTGGTATCAAATAAAAACAAATCCTCATCTATGACCACAATATTATTATTGTTTACAACAGATGTCAACAGAGGCACGTTAAAAAAAATGACTGTTACTGACCTACATTTCTATAGTTGATAATTATTAGACCTCGAGTGTTTCTAGTTAAACACAAACCACATGAGGTCTAATAATTACCAAATTCTCATAACTGCATCCCATCCATTAACAATTGTTTGTTTACTATTCACTTTTTATTCATTTATCATCATCATTAACTTATCATCATTGTTGAAATTATTTAAGAAATTGTAAAACAAAACAAAGATATTTAAACATAAAAAACCTAAAGGCATTGAACTCATCCTCCTCCGGGCTTGCTGCCACATCCACAGATCAGGCCGTGCTAAGAAGATTTCTTTGCTAAAGGAGTAAAGCTTGTCACTGCTTTACTTACAGCTGAATTTGTGGGTCAGACATGGCCAAAATGTCATGAGGGCATCAGCGCTGTGGTTTTGTTTAACACTGGTTTGATGTTGCTGTCTGGTTCAGAATCAATATTTTAATGAGCCGCATTTTTATGATATTTAGAGTTGCAAAACAAGCTGATCCGTAATTACACTATACAGACATTTTGAACAGAGTTTTGTTTGATATAAAGATGAAGTTGAATTGGACATCAACGACTCGATCAGGAAGTAATTTCCACCTAATCTAATCTATATCTCCTCTCGTTTCCACAGCCTCCTCTTCAAATGTTCTTATTCTCAGGGCCTTAAATGGTGAGAACCAGACTAATCTTCTAGTTGTCTTCCTGGGCTTAACCCTGATTTGAGTAAGGGTCATTACCATTGGCCATCTGTCCAAGAAACGCTTGTTGTGATTGGGCATATGGCATAAGAGAGAGCAAGATTTAGGAAGAGCAGAATGTTTAAATTGAATGTAGATATGCCACGGTTCACATTGTCTGTCGGGAGACACATAATATCGTTTCATTATGTAACCCAGGATCGTATTAGTGTGTGTGAGCACATTTACTAATGTGTAGATGTATGTTCACAGATGTAGGCTTTGGTATAGCTTAACTTAACTCTTTCTTGTATTGCAACACTCATTACATTGTAAGGGGTCTTTCAGCTCCACTTGGCTTTGATTGTTGCAAAACACACAGGAGCCAATTATTCCCAGAATGAAAAACATGTTCAAAGACAACGCAATCTCTCAAGCGCACTCATTCAGTGTGTAACTGTTTGTTGATGTGCATAGCTGTGTGTGTGATGTATTTCTGTCACATGACATGGTCATGCAGTTGTCTACATTAATCTGCAGTATCTTTATTCGTTTCTTTTTACATTATAGGAACATCTTTGCTGATACACTTCCTGTGCATGGGAAATATACGCTCACCTGGATGTTGACCAAAGCTAATGTAAATACAGGTGTAAATTGGTTATGGGTTGAATTATGAGCTATTCTCTATGTCAGCTGGCAACAGAGAAGCAAAATAGACAGACAATGTGACAATTAAAGTAGTTTTTCAGGCTGTATCTGTAATCACAGGAAATAGACTTCATTCTTTGACAATGAGGAAAATGCTTCAGGGAACAAATTCCCACATGAATTATCCTCGATAACAGCAAAACTGTTGTGGTGGCAGCCCGGCTGACGGTGAGTGTCCTGTTTATTTCTCCTTTTTTTGCTTGTGATTCTGTTTTCCCCTGTTTTTTTCCTGTACTCTGCCTGCCTCCCTGTGTCTCCTCCCCTGCGGGTGGTCTCTCTCTCTCTCTCTCCCTCCGCTCCTGAGCCCAGCCAACGACCCGCACCTGCACCTGCCTGCCACACCTGCCAGCAATTAACCTCATCCCTGCCTGCATATCTCCACTCCATCGCTGCTTGATCGTCGTTGCTCCTTACCCGGTGCCACTTTACCACTCAAGCTCTCACGTATTCTGTGCCATTTCTGTTTCCCTGTGCTTTGTCTCCGCTGTGTCTAACCCTGTCTGTCTGTCTGTCTCCCCTCCAGGTCCACTCACCTCAGTCCTCCACTCCGTCAGCTGGGCTTGCCACCCTGCCCTCTCCACTCAGACCTCTTCCACGGCGTCCTCCTGGCTCCTCCCCGTGCCTCCTCGCTTCCTCGGTCCCCAGGGCCCCGTGCCCATGTTTCCCCCCGGCGTCCGCCTCTCCCTCACCTCCACTCCCTCAACCCTGTTTCCCCTTCAATAAAGCCTGTTCTTCCCGAGTGTTGCGTTTGGGTCCACTCTGTCCCCACACCACACCATTGCAAACATTGTTCCCCTCAAACTATTGATTGCACAGATTTTAGGTTTCTTCTTTAAAGGAACACACACCACGAAACTTATATCTTGTTGCATGACACTAAAGGACTGTAAATGGCAGATTAGTGTGAACCAAAGATTTTTCTGTGAAACTGTGTGTGTGCGATTGCTTCTTTCTCTGATGAATTGGTCTCAGAAGATATCAGGTGGACATCCCACACAACAAACCATATGTGAATTTGTAATAATACAGAAAAAATGCAGCGCTCCATCAGAGCATAAACAGATTATGAGGATTGTAAAGAAGAGAGAACCTGAAGACACGATACTGGGGTTAAAGTGAAATAGGGATCTTATAATCTCAAATGTTTAGTAATCTACAAACCTTTTTTTTTTTTACAATGGATTTTGCTTTGGGATGGCTTTCAGTATAGTTGCTTTGTTTAATGAGGTCATTTTTCTTGCTTTTCTTTCTGTCTAATCTGTTGTCATATGGACCAGAGATAAGAATAGAGTTTAGCATCAGCTCTTCCTGCTGCTTGATATCACATACGTGGAAATCTGTCCGGGAATAGGATATTTGTGTCATTCTCAGTGGTTGGGGCCCTCGGTGCAGTCTGGTTTTGAACCTTAAAATTACTATTATGATTTAAATCATATATGGGAAGGATTACATTTGATTAAAAAATTGTCAAAATTGTGTGAAGTTGTTGATTGTGTGATGTTTTTGGCACCTTAAAGGAAAGTAAAAGGTATATCATGCTGGAGGTACACTGAAGTAAAGGCTTTCATTGCTTCACTATAAAACCCGTGTTTGTCTCCTCAGCTAAATGTTGGATTTACCACAGTGGACTGCGCATGATTAGTTGTGACATAATCTAGCGTTACAACATCAAATTCCCAATGGCACGAGCAAAGGCAATAAAATCTGTCGCGCTATAGTGTGTGTGTGTGAGGACACACCCCCTCTACAAATCAATGTGATGGAAAATGAGAAGTCACTGGGACGCAGTAATCTGTTCCACCCTATTAAAGTCCAGACTTGTAGGCTACTCTGCTTCCTCATCAACAGTAATAGGCCAAATCCACAGGGATTTCCTGCCAATCACAGGCATGTAGTAGTATCTTAATGACTTTTCTTCGGGAGCTGATAAAAGTGCTTTTATAAATTTGTCAGTCTGTGTGTGTTTTACTGCACTGAGCAGATCAAGCAACACTAGTACAGATTCAAAGCAAATCCAGATAGTGTACTACGATGGAGGTAATGTGCTTGGAGAGTTTAAAGAGCCCTTGGGACTTCTTATCTCTATTGATAAATATTGCTGTTGAACTGCATGAAATGTCTGGCTGTGTAATCCCTGACCTTAAAGACGACCCTTTCCTTGAAAGCTCTTTTGAATACTCGTGCTGAGAGTGCATGCATGCGTTCTTTCTCAATAAGGAAAAGAAAGAAAGGAGTGAGAGTTGATTTCACTCAGCAGTGTCACCTAGCTTACTCAACCGTAGACTCTGCCAAATTAAAGATGTTAATTTAAATTAAAAGTGCACGCTAATAAGAGCAATCACTTGCCTGGTTAGGACTCCAATCAAAATGCTAATTAGAATCCTGGCCCTCCAAATGAACAGTTTGAGTATTCATTATCTTCCTTTAGTTCTACTTTTCTGTCTCTTCCTTCCCTTTGCTGGTTATGCATCCCATTTGCCCAGGGTAACTTTGGTATTTTTCAACCTAATAACTATTATTATTATTATTATTTCCCCATGTTTTCGTGTCTACAAGATGCACTTTTTTAAACTGCTCCAGTGTTGAGCGAGCGTGCTGCAGACAGCGAAATAATCCCAATTTTTCACGTAGACACAAAATCTTAAAATACCTTTTAAGAGTAATGATGGGGAATGTCACTAAGACAATGTCACACTGTGCAGTTGCTCATTTTTTTAACATGGTTTAATATGTTGCAATCACGCTAGTCACAATTAATTCCTACTATTGCTACAAAGGAAAAAAAACACACTTGAAGTAAGTAATGAAGTAAATATAACAAAAGAAAGACATGATGTTACATGTTACATGATGTAAGCATGCAGATATTTCATGTGTCAAAAAGAAGAAACATCAATACTTCATTGCTTTTGAACAAAACATGGTTGCTTTACTACAGCTCTCAAGAGACACAAATGGTTTTTAGTGGTTTTGTTTTACTTATTTATACAGAATCAGAAGGAGCTTTCTTGCCAAGTAGTGTTTTACACATACGAGGAATTTGCTTTGGTGATAAGGTGCTACACATAGACAAACATACAGTTAGACATAAATAAATGTAGAAATATACAAATGTGCAATTGACAAGATATAAAAATGTAAAACAACAACAATTAACAAAAATATGTGCATTGTGCCAGATTTGTGCATGATATGAAATTAAGTAAAATTTAGACGTCCAGAGACATTTGCATTATTTGAAGGGGGTGGGGGGTGTCAGTGTGGGGGCCGGGCCTTGTTAACGAGACTAGCTGAAGACGGGAAGAAGTTGTTTTTTTGGCAAGAGGTTTTGGTCCTGATCGACCGGAGCCTCTTGCCAGAGGGGAGAGTCTGAAAATGTTTGTGTCTGGGGTGGGAGGGATCAGCTACAATATTTCCTGCTTGCTTCAAAGTCCTGGAGGTGTACAGTTCCTGAAGTGATGGGAGATTGCAGCCAATCACTGTCTCTGCAGAGCGAATAATACACTGCAGCCTGCTTTTGTCTCTGGCAGTGGCAGCAGCGTACCGGATGGTGATGGAGGAGGTGAGGATGTGTAGAAGTGCACCATCAATGAATTTGGCAGGCTGAACTTCTTCAACTGCAACAAGTACATCCTCTGCTGGGCCTTCTTGGAGGTGATGTTCAGCTCCCACTTGAGGTCCTGGGAGATGATGGCGCCCAGGAAGTGGAAGGAGTCCACAGGATTATGGGGGAGGGTGCGGCTGGGTTCTTTCTGAAGTCCACGACCATCTCCACTGTCTTCAGAGCGTCGAGCTCCAGGCTGTTCTGGCTTCACCAGGTCACCAGATGGTCAATCTCGCACATGTATTCGGACTCATCTCCACCAGAGATGAGCCCACTGAGGGTGGTGTCATCCGCAAACTTCAGGAGCTTGACAGACTGGTGACTGGAGGTGCAGCTGTTGGTGTACAGGGAGAAGAGCAGAGGGGGAAGAACACAGCCTTGAGGTGAACTGGTGCTGATGGTCCTGGAGTCTGAGAGATGTTTTCCCAACTTCATGTGCTGCTTCCTGTCTGTCAAGAAGCCTGTGATCCACCTGCAGGTGCAGTCAGGCTCGTTCAGCTAAGAGAGCTTGTCCTGCAGTCCTGGCGTAGGTTCCTGGGAAGTCCAGGTTCTGGAGGATTAAGTGAAGGGCCATGTATACTGCATCATCTACAGACCTGTTGGCTCTGTAGGTGAACTGCAGGTGGTCTAGGAGTGGGTGTGACATAATGACAGTGACCTGTGGTCCTTGTTTTTTGGGGGACAGGGATGATGGTGGAGGTTTTGAAGAAGGCTGGAACATGACATGTCTCCAGTGAGCTGATCAGCACAGTGCTTCAGTGTGAATGGGGAGATGGGGAGACAGGAGTCCGGAGTCTGGCCCAGCTGCTTTGTAGGGTTTCTGCCTCCTGAATAGTCTGCTGACATCCCTCTCTGAGATGGAGACAGGGGAGAGGGGTAGGAGCTGTCCAACTCTGAGGAGGGGGAGGAGGAGATGGTGGACTGGGACTGAAGCTGAGCGGAGGAGTCACGGGGGATGGTGTCCGATTGACTCTCGAAGCGGCAGTAGTACTGGTGCAGCTCATTTGCCAGGCGACAGTCATTAATGGAGTGGGGGGCTTTGGGTTTATAGGTCGTGATCTGTCTGAACCCCTTCCAGACAGAAGTGGCATTGTTTGCAGAGAACTGGTGTTTTAGTTTCTAACAGTTGTTCAGCTTCTCGCACCTCCTTGCTAAACCTGTACTTTAACGTCCTGCACCCGCCCCTGTCCCCACTCCTATATGCCTCCTTCTTTTCCAACCTAAGCTGTCTGAGTTTGGCTTTAAACCAGGGTTTGTCATTGTGCGTGTCACTGGTGCATGTTCGTATACAGCTGTCCTCACAGAAACTGATGTAGGACATCACAGCATCAGTAAACTCATCCAGACTGTTGGTAGCAGTCCCGAAAACATCCCAGTCAGTGCAGTCCAAACACGCCTGGAGGTCCTCTACCGCTTCACTGGTCCACTTCTTTGATGTCCTGACCACAGGTTCACAGAGCTTTAGTTTCTGCCTGTATGCAGGAATCAGGTGGACCACGATGTGATCAGAGTGGAGTGCAGGGGATGGCGTGATAGGCACTGCTTACTGTGGTGTAGCAGTGATCCAAAGTGTTCCGCTCTCTGGTTGGACACTTAATAAACTGTCTGTATTTGGGGAGTTCTTGGCTGAGGTTTCCTTTGTTAAAGTCACCATGAACATAACAAGGGAGTCCGGGTTTGTCTGCACCACACACAGTATCTGGTCGGCAAGCATGCACTGCACGTTGGCCTGTGGTGGAATGTAAACACTGACCAGAGTGAATGAAGCAAACTCACGGGAAGAGTAAAACTGTTAACAATTAATGGTAAAAAATTCCAGGTGTGGAGAACAGTGCTGCTCAATCACTGTCACATCGGTCAACCTTTTGTTTTGCCAGAGAGTTCTGTGTTGTGGTTCACTCTGTACAGTTGGAAGCGAGCCAGCTGCAGCGCGGATTCCGGTATCTGTTTACACAGCCATGTCTGCGTGAAGCACAGAACAGAATATGAATAAAGGTCTCTGTTTTTCCCCACCAGTAGCTGAAGTTCGTCCAGATTGTTGCACAGTGAGCATGCGTTCACCCTGAGCAACAGCAAGCTGCCCTTCACCAAAATATCCAATAATTCCACTGATCACGCGAGAAAAGTGGGAAATAA